GATTTACATGATTCTAATCAGGAATATTTCTACCAGAAGTTCTCAATGTTTCCTTTCCATGTCTATTACACTTTCGTATACCCTGTTTTTCACTCTCAACGTCTACAGGGTATGCAAATTAAAGGTGCGGACTCTGAAGGGTTTTCCACGTAAAGGGCTTGTCCATGGCGGTAATTAACCAACGCACCCAACAAATATTGTGTTAATATCCATAAATTCAGAACAAAATGCAAGCCTTAACCCTTTTTGTCGCCTGCGTGTTAGTTTGCCAGTCAGTTTGACTGTCTGTCAGTCAGTTTGTCCGCCAGTTCGTATGCAATTTGCATAGAATATTTCTCAAAAAAAAAAAACCCGCCCCATTGTCTGCGACATTCCAGGAGCGCACTCGAGCGTAACTCGGGCTCCGGGTCCAAGTCAGTCCGAGACGCGCTCTCAATGTAAATAAATATGTATTTATATGTATTTTCTTCTCAGTTTTATTTGTATTTTTTTTTTTTATTTAGCTGCACGCGTTAATTTATGCCACACAGTCGTCTGTGGCTCGCTTTGGTTAGCCGTTAAACCACATCCGAAAATTATACAATAAAATGTTAAATAAACTTGTTCTTGCCAGCAACAGCAGCAGCAATTGGAAGTTGTTGTCGTTGTTGTTGCTATTTGCTGGAAATTTATACAAACAGCTGCGCTAACCACAAGCAACTGCAGCGCCAGTCGAGACCTCGATTCGGAATCCTCTGCCTTCTGCCTTCTGTCTGCTAACTAACCAGCACTTGGGCATACTCTAGGTACTTGCAAGAGCTTGTCAAACTGCCAGCCAATACCCTGAAGAGCTCAATGTGCGACTGTCAATCGACAGACACTCGCCCCAAAACGGAAGCAGTTAAGCTTTGAATAATTTATGAATATCACTTTTGTTCTTTGTTCTTTGGTTTTTTTCTTCGTTTTCTGCCAAAGTTGCATATCAATTATTGATGGTCGCAGAAAGGTTTTCAATTGCCTGCAACTTGATTTTCACACTCTTGACAATTGTTGCATATTTTATCTGAACTTTTTTGCAATTCTTTCTTTTTCGTTTATTTTTTTTGTCCATATGGAAATTGATTGAATGAAATATGGGATTTATAAGATTTTATAACTTGATAGTAATATTAATATGGTAGGGTATTAAGATTTATTATTTTCTTTTTTTTTTTTTAATAGAACTTTTTAGGAATTTCTAGTCTTAAGTATTTGAGTATTTAAATTATGTACTTAATTTTTTTAAAATATTTTTTTCTATAGTTGATTTATTTTATTCATAAGTTGATCAATATCTATTAATCTATCTGTCAATTAATCCCAAGTAGAATCAAGCACAAAACCATTTTATAGCACATTTTTTAAAGTCAAACGAAGCGCAGCCCAAGCCGCAACTAAATGCATTGTCATTATTAGACCCCAGCATATATCCATCATATCTTATAATATTTAATATGCCAATGACAACGTTTTTATGTTCCTAACCGCACAAATATCCACTTGACGTGGTTTGCTTGTTGTTGTTGTTGTAGTTTGGGCTCCGAATATGGGCAGACATTCTGACTGGTGGCCAGTTGGTTACTGTGTGTTGTGGCCACTTCCTAATTTGGTTCCGCTATTTATTCTCGCATGCGCTTTAATATTTATTATTTAATTCACAAACGCGAGTCTTGAATGCCAAACATTGTTTTAAGCGTTTTGTATGCCAAATGCAAATGCCGGTGGAAGTTGGCGGCGGCGCGCACACTTGCCCAAAAGTAAGTGTTAAAAAAATACTTGGAGTGCTCCAGTCGGAAGTGCCCGACTGGCAGATACCACTGCTCACTTATTGTCTTGTCTTAAATCTTCACTTCCTGTAGTTTCCAAGCTCTGATCCACTTAGCTCGTTGTCCTGATCAGGAACAAATATTCTTTATGGGTTCAAAGATGCGGCTGCTTACATACATATGCCATAAGCCATTATTACCCCTTTTTTCATCAAGTACAGGGTATAAATATGTTGTTTGAAAAGAAATTGAAAATTGACACGCATTGCCATAAAGGAAGTTTGGCCAGTTTTGGTAACAGCCACTGGGTAGGGTTTCCTTATGGCCGCAGCCTCAGCGTGACCTTCAAGCCAAATATTTGAGCACTTTTTTTTTTGTTTTTTGGCTATAGCTGCTTTCTATTTCTAGTTGAAAATGTGAATAATTGGGAACAGGAACCGTTTGCAGTTAATGCAAAGCTTGGCACTAAATTAAAGCGCGTTGGCTGCAATAAATTCCCAGTGGAATTTGCTCGCATACCAGAGACGCTCAACTTCCGGGCTGTGTTTGGGCTTTGGGAAAGAATGTGAACCGCCATAGAATTTAGTTACGCATAGCTCAAGCCTGTGAGAATGGGTCATGGCTTGCACTTGGTTGTTCTTGTTCTTGTTGTTGTTGTTGTTGTTGTTGTTGTTGTTGTTGTTGTTGTTAGTCGCATACCAGAAAAACTTACTTGGATCGCGCAAGAGTTGTGCCTTGAAGTGGGTTAGTTGTGGGTGCACGGATCAAGTGCAGGTTCTCACTGAGCAAGCTCGGCTACAAATTTAATTTTTGTTGTACATCCTACATATATACTCGAATATTTCATTTGCCGGTTCGGTTCTAGAATAGCCAGTTTTCACTGTGATTCAGAGAGTTGCGAGTGTGTAAGGTTTGTCGTTGGATTTGAGAGACTTTTAAGTTTGAGATGCTTCACTTCTTTGATACATTTCCATGATCTCCCTCCGTCAAGTCAGAGCCTGGTTACTTGAGATACACGTATATTTGGGTATATTCCGTTTAAAGCCTGATAGGTTTCATAAAGATCGAACTATAAATATCCAAGTTATTGGAGCACACATAGTCCATGTTGTGGGTCTGGGCCAGAAGGGAGGAAGAAGCATTAACTATTTGCTTTTCTCTTCTATTATATTATATTTTCTTGTTATTATTTTGTATGTTAATATGTAAATTTATATATAAGAATATTTTATTTGATTATTTTTGAATACTTCTCTTTTATGACAAACACACACACATATCTCGGCAATGAATAAGTACATATATTGTATTCAGTTTATAGACCATTTATTGCCTACACAGAGAAGTACCTATAAATGTCACATCTGATTGCTCACAGTCGAGCACGTGTGTGTGTGTGTGTGTGTGTGCTGCCAATGAACTCTATGACTGCATTTAATAGGCAGCACAAACAAAAGACTTAGGCAACGAACTTGGCGGAACGCATGCCAAAAACTGGTTCTGGCCCAAAGCCAAAGCCAAAACGCATTTTTGCTCATTTCACAGCCAGTGCAACGGTTGTTTATGCCAGCTCCCAGTTCTAAAGCGACTCCCACTAACAACAAAGCTGCCTGCCGCAGTCTTTGGTCGTGTTTTGTTCGTTTTTCTCTCGTTTTTTTTTTTGTTATCGGCACATTGCCTTTTAGAGTTGGCCAATCTGTAGACAGTGTTCCTTGCGTACGCATTGCTCCTTTTGCCCTTTTTGGTTGTTTTTTTTTATTGTTTTCCCATGACAGAACAGGCACAAACTTGTTCAGGGCATGAGTCATGTGCTGGAGGCCGGTGCCATTTGTTGCCTGGCACCGAACAGAATCTTCTTCAATCTTTGGACAGCCGCCGAGTATTTCGCAATTTCACAAGCCTGAGCTGGTCTTGCGTTCTGCTCTCTTTGAGCCCTTTGTCTTCGACTTGTTAATTTGTGGCTGCGTGGGAATCTATGGATTAGTTGAGAGAGTAACAACAACTATTTCAAAACATTTGCAAGTGCCAATTGCGCTGGTATTTCAGCCTTTGGCCATGTCACACACTAGTTGTGTTGAATGCAAATTGTGAGCGCAGCGCCATTTATGGACGGATCTATGGACCGGACCCCGGCAAACGGGTTTACAATTAAAATGTGCTTTTAATTTTTCCGATTTCGCTTTGTTTTTTTTTTTGTTATCGCTCGCCCTTTATTAAAATGAGGCTGAAATTAATTATTTATGCGCTGGAGCAGACAATGGGCGGCTACTCAGAATCCATGCCATAATCCCTGTCAGAAACGAAAGACTTAAGGCACAAACTTGCCATAGCTGACTATAAAGCGTTCACAGTTCAGTTGGCACCCCCGCTCGGGCGGGCCGACTGTAACGCGTGCCGCCGTCACCTACAAGGGGTAGCCTGGGCTGCTTGGACAGCTGGGCAGCTGCAGGCGTTGCCTAGCGTCATACACGAGTTAACAGCCAGCCAGCAGACCCCCTCAAACGAAATAAAGCCCGCATATATTAAGCAAGCCAAAGCAATAAGGCACATTTAGAACATGCATTATATGCACTGAACAAAATATTTGAGTGCAAAATGTGGCCGAACTTTTTAAGAAAAAATAACAGTTAATCAACCTGACTGTCGGTCAATCAATCTGTCAGTCGTCAATCTGTCAGTCATTCAATCTAACAGTCAATCAACCTGCCAGTCAGTCAATCAATCTGTCAGTCATTCAATGCCAGTCGTTCAATCTGTCAGTCATTCAATCTGTCAGTCATTTTATGTTTGTCATTCAATCTTTCAGTCTTTCAATCTCAGTCAGTCAGTCAATCTTTTAGTCAGTCAGAACAAACTCTTATAAATGTTTAGCTAGGATATTATTTCTGCGGCAGCCCAGTTTTTCATTTCCTTCGACTTTGTTTAACTTAGGACAAAGTTCTTTCAGTGCATTTCATGCAAGCGGCCCTGAACAAGTCCGCTGCACTTTTGGGCTTGTTATTATTAGCAGCGCATGTCGACCATGACATTTGTTTAAAACGAAAATAAATGCGAGAGCCAGAGGCAGGCCCATGCCCATGCCCAGAGCCAGAGTCAGGCCCATTGCCAAGTTTGATGCCTTTTCAAAATGCAAACGCAGTGTAGCTTGAAATGGTTCTTTACCTGCAGCATGCACAACAAATTTTCGAATAGCCCAAAATATATATGTGAAGGCAGACAAAAAAAAAAAAACAACAAACAAATTGCCAAATGCCCAATCAAGCGATGGTCAAGTCATCTGTGTAGTAAAGCCAAATGGAGGGCGGCGGCAGTTCCACATCGCAATCCTCATCATCCGTGAGGCCATTCCCATCCAAGGTGGCATTCAGATTCAGCACACCGCAGATCTTAGCCTGATCAGAAAGAAATGTTAGTTAGGCTTAGTTATTTTTTTTTTAAATGCAATCGGTCTGCAAGACCTACGCCATTTGAGAACTTGCGCCATTCGTAGCTGCCCGCATGATGATTGTACCGGAACTTGTATTTCTGCTGTATATCATAGATGCTGTCCTCATCACAGACGGTCATATGCTGCACTGTGCCAGTTAGCGCGTTTATCAGGCGCAGGCGACGCGGTCGCCGGGTAACGCGACCAATGTGATAGAACGGATCCTGACTCCACATGGCGTGCTTCGTCTTGGCGAACTCGCTGATGGCCACCTCCAGAATGGGCGGAAACAGAACACGTGGACGGCCCGAGTTGACAGAGATTTCGGTGCGTGGTTCGCCATTTTCATGAAAAAAATGGCTTAGATCCTTGCCGCCATGTGCCACCAGATAGTCCATGTTCTAGGGCAACAACAGAATAAGTATCTATAAATTTCGAGCGTGCGCTTGGGCTAGGGTTTGGCAAACGTACGCGATTCCAATGATCGCGCCGATCCTCGATCATGGGCGTCAAGTCAAAAACATTCTTGTGTATTACAATCCAAAAGTCCGTCTTCTTATTGTGTATACAAACCTCATCCATGAGATAATAGCGCAATTTAATTGTGGGTTTTGCCATTTCAATTGGTTAAGCATAAATACTATAAGCTAATACTATTTTCTTGATATATTTTAATTTAAATAATTATTAATTGACAAATTCACAAAAAGTTGCTTATTTTTAAATGATTCAAATATTGGCTTACAAATTCGATAATTACCCATAATGAAAACAATCTTAACTAAAAGGGTTTGATATCAGAACACGACATCTTCCTTCCCACTCTAACTATCTAAACACCTTGTAAATGGGTAAAAAGGATAAAAACTTGTTTTGTACAAATCTATGTTACTCTCAGAAGAAAGCATTTCGAAGCCATAAAGAATATATATTCTTGAGCAGCATCAATAGTCGAGTCGCCGTTCTTTATGTATGAACGCGTCGATCTCAGAGTCTACAGGATAAGCGCGATATGAAATATAATTAATTTCCGATAGTCGATAACTTCTCCGTATGCAAGCAATCGATATAAATCGATACCAAAATATAACGAATTTCACATGTAGCTTCTTAAATGGCAAATACAGATCGAGTATCTTTCATTTTAATACTAAATGTTGATCTAAAAATATAAAGTAGAATTGAAAATACAGAAAAACGCTTCATTTTTATTATATGCACATTTTTGTAGATTTCTGTGGAGTTATTATGAAACTTGTTATTGTAGAATTTTTGCAAATATTTTGAAAATGATCCTAAAAACTTTGCCTTACAAAAGCACACTTTCCGACCGATGTTTTCTATAGAGTTGTGTGATAGAAAAGTTTTCTTTGGAATATGAAATAACCTAAGGTTCGAATATCCAAACACATTATTTGTAGGCTCTGCTTATTATGAATATACAATTGATGCTGGAGTACGATAGGTGTATTTATAATGGATATTATATTTATGAACAGACTTTGGGGCTAAGTGCGTTAGGAGCTTGTAATTGATCTTATCTGTTGCCAGACCAATTAATCTCGGAAGTCAACCGCAACCGAGGCGTCTTCTAATTCCATTAGGGAGAGAGAGAGACGCGCAGCTGGTTTTTCCTTCTGCCTTTTGGGGCTGCATAATTAGCTGGCAATTGTCAAGTCATCAGCGCCTCACGGAGCCATCAATTCGTTGTTCTAAATAGGGAACTAGATTAATGATTCGCTGGCAATCTCGAGTTTCAAGTTTAAAGACAGTTTTATTGATGAGCTCAAAGTAGAGTACTACAAAGTACTATGATATATGATAACTAGCCGAGACGTGTGCAAGCTTCAGGCTGCAAGCTTCTGGAACGTGTCGTAAACGTGGGAACATTAAAACAAATATGCCTTCAAATTTTCTACTGTAATATGCAACATATTTTCTGGCTGTAACAGATGGCTGCTGGCTTCACAGATGTTGGCAATTTTGGTTGTTCATGTTAGTTTTTCGCAGGCACAAAGAATTAATAGAATAACATTTGTGTAGGCTCTGCAACCCTCGTGATGATTGCAACCACAAAACTGGCATTTGGAACGCCTTCCTAATATTCGAATAGTTTTCCGATCTTGCAACAGTTGGCCCTGCCTTTGGAAGCTATCAAAACACAGGCGAGAGCCAAGTCAAACATTTGGTGGTATCTCTTTATATAATTCTGATCTGACATGCGCTGCTGTTCCTATGAGTTATGCCACACTTTTCTATTGCTTATGCAATCATATTGCTGACACCCTTCGCCGGCGCATGTGCAACAGCAGCAGGGGGAGAGAAGGGTGAGCGGTGCCTCTTCTATCTGTTTACCTAGCCCTGAGACTGCGTCAGCTGTTGGCCAACTCGGTGGTAAAAAAAGTGTGCACAGCATGTGGGGGGATGCAACTTATTACTAATTGTTTAATTTACTTCATTTTCGTCATTCGAGTATGTCACATAAAAGCTACACCCCATAAATATGATATACAATTATCCATGATAACAGTTTTTTAAGGGATAATTTGATGGGTTTTTATTAAGAGAACGGGCGAATGGGAATAGCTGAAGAAGCGGATTTCTATTTGGGATTAACTTCATTTTGCTCTTGCAAAGTAAAACAAAACTTTTATTTATTATACTTTTAATTATTATACTTAACATTACATATTAGGTTATAGATTATTTGTTGGTTTGTGTTTTCCTAATCTAAGTACCCGGTTTGGGAGGTCGATGTGGTTGATCCTGCGAAGTCTCCGTCGCTTTCTTCTGCAAAGCCTTCTTGCCAATATTTTGGGGTGGGCAGAGAGACGGGCCATGTAACTAGTGGACTGTTGTAGTAAGAGGTCACCCACCAAGGGAACCTTTAGGTCTCTTGCTATGTTCCGGTTGCGGATGTACCAGGGTGCCCCAGTACTTAGTCTCAGCACCTTGAATTGGAAGACAGTGCCGAAGATTTGGCAAAACTGAAATGCATTTAGTTAGTTAATTAATTATGCCTATTAACTCGCTTCATAAAGCGGCTGCTTAACATTTTATTGTGCATAAATCAATTGGATATCAACGCTGCATTCATCAGCTGCCAAATGACGCCCAATCCATAATTAATCCATGATCTTATATATGCACATATATTTATCTAAGTATATAAATATATATATATATATCTATATTTTTGTAAAACTGGCGCCGCAGCTTGTCGCCGGCTCTGGCTTTGTGTCAAGGCAATGAAAATGGAGACAACATCTCGAATGCCTCAGACTTGTTTTTGTTGTTGTTGTTGCTAGTTTTTTAGCCTACGCGCGTTACTTTTTATGGTTTGCATTTTGCAATGCAATTTTAATTGTTGCAGCGCAAAAAAATGCTACTAAAATTAAATAATAAATAAAAAAATATATATATGCAGACAGCTGCGGTCACAATTTCTTGCTGCCATACAATCGAATTGTGAATAATGTGTTTTGTTTTGCTTTTTGTAATTTTTTTTTTTTTTTTTGTATGTGAACTGCTGCAGTTGCTGCAACTGCTGCGACTGCTGCTGCTGCTGCTGGCACTCAAGTGCACATTTCCTGCCATTTACAACAAAGTAAACACAAGTATTTGCTGCTAGTTTTTATTTATGTTCATAACGCACTTAATGGGTTTTTGCAGCCCATTGTTCGATTTTAGTAACTGGGGTGGGGCAGCCCGTGCACCAGAGTCCACAGTTGCCAGCCCGGATCCCGAATTGTTTTCCTCTCTGCAAGTGGCTGCGTCTGCGCGTGACGCACGTGTTGAGCTGCGTCTGAGCTGGGCTGCGTGTAGGGGTTGCTTAGTAGCAAGGGTAACTACCCTTAAGGGGGCAGCCTAGTGACCCGCAGCATTTCAGAAAGAAAAAGAGAGTGGGAGAGTTCAGTGTGGCATGCCGCATGTACGCTTGTGCCTGCCACACGCAGTCGACGCCTTGACCCAAGATCTGCCACCAGCAGCAGCAGCAGCAGCAGCTGCAACTGCTGGGCCCAAGATCAACACGCACACACACATGCTTGCCGTGTCAAATGGCCAACCAGCTGTTGGCATCGCCTATGCATAAATCAGAAAACACACAAATTGAGCATCATTGGAAAACTCAGCTCATTGGTTTTCCTGCCTCTCGCAACTCTCAACATATGCACAGCTTCACAGTTCAACTGCCAACAATTAGTCCTCACTTGAGCAGAGCGCGAGGATGGAAGGAGAGGGGAGATTGTCCACAAGTGGCCACATTTTCACTCCGAGTCCGAGACCGAGTCCTAAATGCAAATGAGAAGCGACAATGTTGCCGTTGTCAACGCATTGAAAAACCTCAAGCATTCCACAGTTTACAGTTTTCAGTTGTTCGCAATTGCAGCTGTGCCCATTGTGAACACTTTTTTTATTAAGGGGGTGCACACCCTTTGTAATACCGAGTACTCGAATAGGGTCCACGAAAGGGTATCAAAGGGCGGCGACAAAGCGTGCAACAAGCCAGTTTTGGTTACTTCAACTCATTCGGACACTCTCTACGAAAACTACTCGTATGCATAGTTTTTGCTCCCGGTCAATCCTCCATTCTTTTAAAAATCTAAATGGTATATAAAACTGTCCTGACTGACTAACTGATTGATTGATTGACTGATTGATGATCAACGCACAGCTCAAACCATGAGAGATAGGAAGTTGACATTTTCATTGTAGTTCACGCAGTTTCCACAAATTCCACCCGCATGTGTGGAAAAATCGTGAAAAACGTTATGTATGCAAGTTTTTTGTTTACCGTCCGATCGGCTTAAAACCCATTTTCAAAGATCATTTAAAGAATTTATTTGAAAAGTACCAAGGTATGCTATAAAATATTCTATATAGACGTAGATCAAAATTTTCCATCCCCATAACTCGGCCAAATCTCATACGATTTTCACGAGGTTTGGCGTTTTGTTAATGGTTTGACTTGTAGATTGATTTGGCATTCAAATATGACATATGACATCATTTTTGGTCAAAACTTATGTCAAAATGTTACCCTTAAAAATTTGAGACATAGGTCCAAATTTCCCATCCCCTTAACTCTGTCAAATCTTATCCGATTTTCACTAGGTTTGGCGTTTCGTGCATGGTTTTGCCTCTAGATCATAGATTTGGCATCTAGCATTGTTCTTGATCGTAATTCATGTGAACATAGTTCAATTATAGGATATTTCTATATAGACATAGGTCGTAAATTCCCACGCCCATAACTCGGTCGAAGCTCAACCGATTTTCATCAGGTTGTGGCTCCTTGGTGATGGCTAGATTTGATAGCTATAAAATGCAAGATTCTTGATTTGAAGGTATATAATATTCTAGAGGCTTGATTCTAGCTCGTAAAACCCAAGTGAATTGCTCTAAAAACAGGATTTCGGGTTCGATTTTTATTGATTGCTTGGAAAGGGGAAAGTTAATCTACTTAGTTTAATACATTGGTTTTATTTCTAAATTAACCCTATGTATGTTATTGTACTTCAGTTTTATATGCATTATGTGCGCTCTGGCATTATTTATTTGTTGCCCTTTGTCGATCAACCTTAAGAGTTGTAAGTGCCCGTTTATTGTTGTTTCTTTGTGGTGTACGTGATTAATTGCCGTTGTGCTTGCTGACCATATTGATGTCCTGCTGTGGTTT